TGACAACCAAAAAGCAGATCTGCATCTGAGGAGTCAGAGCTGCCCCATCTCCTTCCAAGTGGACCCCGTAGGGCAGAACTGTGGGACTCGAGGAGTAATTTTCCATTGCTTTGACCCACATACTCTATATATTACAGTGAAATAGGACACCATGCTCCAAAGGGCTTTCCGTCTCAAATTTACATGGCCATATTATGTAAAGAAAGAAGTTAGTCGGTCTGGGGATCTTACCCCTTTCCTCTCCTACAGTTCATAGGTCACCCAGGTTTTCTAGCAGATCCTAAAACCTTTCCAAGAAGAAACTGAAAAGCACAGATGTAGCACAGTGTCACGGTGTTAAACCTGGACTTTCTCTCTCCCATTGATCATCTGATCCGGATTCTCTCAAGCCTCCTCATGTCAGATTTGTATCTGAATTGATCATCAAGCCTTTGAAAAGTGTCAGCTGCCATGTGCATTGCAATTCATAACATTTAGGGCCTATTGAACTGGAAAAAAAAAAAAAAGATTGATCCTGCATGAGAATAAAGATCCCTATTCCATTTAACAACATTAGACATTGGGTCAATTTTTATGCTGTTCTAAATATATGGTAGAATTACTTATTCAGAAATAGCTCTATGTAGATAGACACTTATATGCACATATCTATAGATCTGTATAGATATATACATACCTCTATACACATATATACATAAATCTATCCCTATATAGAAAATATTTATCAATTAGATATATCAGAAATCAGCAGGATAAACTTTTGCTTCTCTTATTAAAACTTTTGCTTCTCTTATTATTTATTACTGTTGCTGTTATTGTTATTTTTATGTCTAGGAGCCCCATTACAGATCAGGACACCCTTATGTTGCACAAACCCAGAACAAAACAATGTACCCAAAAAAGCTTAAAGTCTTTCCAATCTGTTGTTGTCCTTCGCAATGACTTTTTATGTTATGTGATTATTAGGGCTGAGCAACCAACATTTTGTCCAGGGGTACTTCAATTACAGAAGGAATACGACTGATTTAGTTTTCTCGCTGCATGGAGAGCCGTGGCTTCTCCTCATCTTCAGGAGTCACAGTACAGATGATTCAAACCAAATCATTGCTGCCCCATAAGCTGTGCCCAATCTCTATGTGCATTGTGTTTCATAGTTTTCTAGGGTCCAAAGGGACCTGGTAGATCACCGGGTCCGACCCCCTGCTCCAGGCAGGAAACGTTTCTTGGTTACAAACGTTTGTTTCCCGTAAAGCTCCCGTTTAGGAAACAATCAATAACATGCCATGCAGCTCCCAAGAAAGCACACAGCAAAAAGTGCTTAAACACCTGTTTGAGGCCACTGAGCAATCAAGTCCCTATGAACCCAAAGCAAAAATTATTCAAATTACACATGGCCCATTAAGGAAATATATTACTTTAAATTAAAATTCCTAAGTATGCACATAGCTTGCTCCCAGTGCTGGCACATCAGTAGGGGTGTGAAAGCCCATTTAGGACATGAGGTCCTTTGAAAGTAAGTGCCAGTTTCTGAAAACACAGAGTCTAGTGAAGCTTCCCTGTGATAAAAAGTCCACAGGAGGGGTGAAGGGGATGATGTGATGCTGGAGGAAAGCCATCACATTCCCCTGCATCAGTTGCCCCAAGTGGCAATTGCCCTTGTAAAGCAAACAGAGCCGCCTTAATAGCTCATAACAGCTTTCATTGATTGGGCATCCATGACACTATAATCAAGCCCTTCTCCTCCAGCAGATATCCTAATGAATGCAAAAAACACTATCAGCCTGCCATAAGGGGGGGCGGCATGATTTCTTCTCTGAATCCTGAAGGTCCAAGCAAGTCACACACACCAGCCTAGGTGAAACTAGGCCTACGTACAGACATTCAAAAAGTCCAAGGCAGAATCGATTGAAGTTATGCCGCTTTCTGTAAGTGCAGTAATTTAGATCGGAAGCAAACAGAACATACATTGGCCTTTTGGCAGGGGAGGGAGGAAGGAGGGGGAGATGGAAATCGTAGACCAGGTTCTGCCCTTTTTAAACCAGTCTATGTGCGCTGAACTTCTGTTCTGCCGTGGGTGTAAACAGGTTTTCTGTGCAGAACCATTCTGTTACAAGCATAGACTGGTTTCAAATCACTCATACTGGTAAAAGCAGAACATCTGTACCTGGCCAAAGAGACTCCACTCTTCTCAAAGAGCGGTCCCTTCAAGGGCGAACTGATACTCACTGGTGAGATGGAAGGGGCATGACGCGGCTACCCAAGCCATACCAGTCCTCCATGCTGTGCCTATTCTGAAGCAAAAGATAAAACTTCAGACTCCAGGGCTATTGATCAGCACATGCATTAAATTCACTTTAGAGAAGCAGAGAATGAGGGAGAGAGCAAACCATACATGACAGATGTTAGTCACGTTGCTTAATGTGCTACTCGAAGGTGTTCAGATGCTATGGTGATGAAAGTGATATAAGAACCTATATAATTAGAATAGAATAGAACAGACTAGAATAGAAAAGGACTCCTGTGAGATTATAATGACTTTGGGGGAAGCTAATGTCATAGGATCCATGTCACCAATTTTCCCCCTGGATTTGATTTCTAAGCATTTCTGCAGATCTACTGCAATGACATGGCAACAAGCAAATTAGATGACAAAAGAGGGTGCCTTTTATGTTTGAAATACCACTAGAAACAGTCCAGTGGTTATTTGGAGGGAGTCAGAGAAATCATTACGGCAGGATTGCTTAAAGTGTTCATGATGGTGTTGCATCCAAAAAAAAAAAAAAAAAGCCCAAAAGGAATAAAGAGGCAAAACCCTTAGCATCATTACATCCTTCCCCATTTCACTTTATGCACATTCCAGCGCTCTAGTTCACAAACTCCGTTGCAATCAATTTTAGCTTGTAACAATCCGGCAGTTTAAGATCTCTGTAATAGTTTAGACCACTGCTGTTCAATGACTTGTATAGCTTCTGGAAAAGACGACATGTTGTTATGAGAAGCGGCATAAGTAGGGGAGCAAGGCAAGGAAATCTGGACCGTCAGTCAGACAGGCTGCTGCTAGTTTCTTCATTGGGTTCTAACCTTATTAATTTGGCTTTGATTATTCGTGGGTGGGTCTCATTGAAAGCCTTCCCCCCCCCCCCTCTTTTTATTGCATTTCCTAAACTAGCTGCTTTGCCTGTTCTCCTTGCTTTTTATGCATGGGCACAAATGCCGCAAGATTGAGGCTATAAGGCAGCCCAAAAGGCATGTGCAGAAGACAGAGTGCAGTACACAGTAACACAGGGTGGGATGTTACACAGTCCCAGCAACTCTGTGACATGTTGTGAGCTCTACGAATGTCTATGGGGGAGCTGAAGCAAAGGCGCTTGAAGTGTGCGCTTGTCAGAGCAGCGGCAGTAGAGCAGCTAGCAAGTTGGGAGTCTCCACACTTGCTGTGAACTAACTTCCAGCAAAACTCTACTGAAATAGGAGTTACAAGCATTTGTCCCCCCTGAAAATCAAGCCCATTGCTCAATACTTGGATTTAGGTGCCCAGCTTCTGGCAGGCGGATTTGAGTTTGTACAAGCAGGGGAAGACCACTGCTTACCTAGGCCATAAGAGTATGGGGAGTGTTTGGTTATGCCACTTTTGAAGAGCATCTCAGTCCTCATCCTTCACCTGGCATGAACTGGGCTGCCGGGGAACAACGGGAAGGAACAATCAGGTCACATTGCTATATGGCTCCACCCCAGAGCAGGCACAGCCCAGCATAATAATTGAGTTACTTTCCCTCCGCCATGGTGCTTTCCTGGAGGTAAGGCATGAGACTAGAGGGACTTAATGCCTGGTAAATTCAGTACTCTGGAGACAATCCCTGGATTATCCTTCTCCCAAAAAATGTACACCCCTCTTTAACTAACTTCTGAGGGATTGGGGAGAGGGAAGAAGGAGAAGGCTGTACACACAGGCCTGATTCTGCACTGACTTTGCAGCCCTTGGTATTATAGAAAGCCCACACACAGACTCGAGTGCCGAATATTTCCGAGCAGCCCATCCCCTTGCTGGGAGCAGGAGAGGCTGGGGTAGGAATCACTATGCCGGTCTATCCAGCTCTCCTACGAACTTTTGTAGAGTATTGAGGATTTAACCCTTTAAATGGCACCTGCAGCAGCACTTGGGGGTGGAAACTGTAGCTTCAGCGTAGCTTCTTCATCACGCTCAACCCAGGATAGCTTTCAGGGTGGTGCTGGTGCCTAAGGCAGCAATCGTCTAGCGGAAATCCTACTCGTAGTATAAAAACAGGGATGTCCCTGAAGTGACATCAGGATAAAACAGGGGTGAGATCAGAATCTGGCCCCCTGAGTATGGTGTCCTTTAGCTGTGCAGGGATCCCCGGTTCTGTCCGAAGCAGCGGATCAGTTCCCCGGGGTTTCTATTTTATCTATGCAGCTCCTTCTCAGCTGCTTGTCAGACGGGGCCAACAATATAACCCAACATCTTGCAGAGACATAAAATGGAAAACAGGCAAGTCATCAGAAAAGTAGCAGCTGTTTTACACCACCACAAAACAAAATCATCATACACTAAAAACTAGATTTAGCAGCTTAAAAGAGCTGCTAACACAGAATTAGCTGGAGACAAGAGTGTGTTTTTGTAAGTGACATAGCTTCACTCAAACCTCCTAATTCATGTAAAAACAACTTAGAAAAAACATTAAGTGCCTGATGGTTTTGGAAAGCAGAGGAGCTTTCAGCCGTTCAGCTCCTGTTGGAAAGAATGCACAGATTTATAACATCTCCCCCCCTCCCCTTTATGAATTTTAAATAAGCATTGTGTCAAAATTGCCACATCTTAAATAACAATAATGCTACAGTCCTCCAGACTGAAGAGACACCAGCCTTTACAGGCAAGTTGGCTATATTTATTGTAGCTTGAGAGTCAGCACAAGGCAGCCCAAACTTTTAGCTACACATGCAATGTAACCATGAGGTATTGGGATCATTAAAGGCACTTGTAAGCGTGTGCAGATGCACACACAGACATGTCAGCATGGTGTGTATCCTCACAGGGTTTCTCTTCTCTGTTTCTCTTACTGTAAGCAGCCCTGAGCCTTTTGGGGTAGGGTGGCATATACACCAAATCAATCAATCAATCTGATACATCAATCAATCAATATCAATCAATCAATCAATCAAGATGTGAAGACCACATCCAGCTTTGAGAGTGATTTTCTTACTTTTATGAACCTGGACACACTTAGGGCCTAAGTGAGCTTATCGTGAGAACAACTTATAGTGGCCTAAATAGCTGCCCCAAGGGTTATTCCATTAGCCCAGGATGAGCTGAATTCAGCACGCTCCAGCTACATCCCCTCATTTACCCAGCATGGCCTCTGTATGCTTCTCATACTGGAGGTGCTCAGGGAAGGATGAAGACAGAGATTTCCTCCACATGGACAACACATAGCTAGCTTTCTGTTTGCACTGTGCTGGCAGAGTGGCACACAGGGCATGGAGCAGGGAAGATGATCTATAACTATGATGCCAGAAAGTGCTCATTACTGGTTATGTACAGTTAAATTAGCTGGGCTTACACCAACCTGAGAGAGGAAGCTAGTTTCTTCCCTCTGTGTTGCTGAACTAGAGTCTAGGTTCTTTACCCCTTGGCAGGTGCGTCTACATGTTCATTAATGTGCTGTAATAATGGCGCATTAAGTTTAGTACGTGTAATCACAGGTACTACTACATCTACTGCACATCAGCACTAGCGCACCCTTTTTCAGTGATGCTTATGTGTAGTAGACTCATTCTTCTGTACATTAGCATGTTTTTTTCATGCCACACTAATGTGCAGTAGAATTAGACTACTGTGCTATTAGTGTCTTGTGTAGACATGCCCTGCTTCAGTTTGCCTGGCTGTGAAATGCGGATAGCATTCCCATATAATCTCAATGGTTATTCTGCAGTTAAGGCATATAAATATCTTGGAAAGCAGTCCTGTGTAGTTCTGTGATCCTGATGACATAGCCGTATGTTGCTTGCCTTAGTAAGTCCATGTGGTGTCCAGGGGAAGTCACTTTCTTTCCCTGTCCTGCGTTGCAGTTTGTGGTCACTGTATTCTGTAAAACAGGTGGCTTCAGGAAGCAAACTGTTTAATGTAGGTCTGTCGCTCCCTGCCTTACTCAGGCAGCTTTCCCATTGGCTTCACTGGACTTGTGCACGAATCACGAGCATAAGACTGGTCTTGTCTCATAGGTCCCAATTTTGCAATCTGTTGCAGGCAGACAAACAGTTATGCTCCTCCAGAGTCCCACTGCGTTACACACATTGAAGACATAGAAGTACACAGCCCCTTGAGATTCTTCAAGAAAAAATATGAAGCATTAATATGGCTTAATATGTTCCCACCTGAGTGCCTAAAGTTGCTCTCCTAAATCCCTTCTGAATAAGAGTGGCCTGATTTTCAGAGGCATTGTGTTTATGTACAATAATTGGGAACTTAAATATGAATTTAGGAGTGTAGTGTAAGTTTAGGTGTCTAGGTTTGAGAAGGTTGCAAAATTTTGCAGAAGGTTAGGGCCAAGGCACAAAAAGAAGTTACCATGGGGTAAGATTCTGGTGATCTCACAGGCTGTCAGCTCCTCCCTGGGGAGAGCGGGCAGGGGTTGGAGGATGTTCAGGGGGGCTCGGGGAGCAGGAAGAGGATGGGGGCTGGTGGGGGTCCCCCCATGGTCTCCTCCCCCGCCCCCTACTTACCAGCACAGAGTCTGGGTCCAGCTCCCTGTGGCGGCAAATCTCCTCCAAATCTTTTTGAATCGATTCAGACCTTTTTATAGGTCTCCTGATTTGATTCAGATTCAGAGATTCGGCCACCGAATTGGGCTGCATCTCCTCCAAATTGAATCAGGACCCGAAGCTTTGCACAGCTGTAGTACATATACTACAGATTGGGAACCACTGGTCTACATAGTCCCTGCTGTTGCTGTTAATCTTCAGGATGTTAACATCAGCTCTAAAACCTACAGCAAGGCTGCAAAATGCCATGCAGCCTCTGCAAGCCCCTCTCTTTAGGGCCTGGGTAGCTCAGCCAGCAGAACATCAGACTTTTATCCACCAAAGCCCCAAAGGAAAACCAGGAGCAATGGTCATAAACTCCTAGAAGAAGGTTTCAGACTGGATATAAGGAAAAACTTCTTCACAGTTTGTATGACCAGACTTTGGAATAGACTCCCAGTGGGGGTGGTGCAGGCACCCACCCTGATCTTCAAAAGGAGACTGGACACACACCTTGCTGGGGTTATTTGACCCCAGCAGTCTCTTCTGCCCAGAGCAGGGGGCTGGACCCAATGATCGCACAAGGTCCCTTCCAGCCCTAAACGTCTGTGAATCTGTGAATGACTGATACAGCCCGGAGAGAACGAACTGGGGACCTTAAAGCGAGTGAGGCACAGTGCTCAGCTGAGAGACTGACTGATCTCTCTGCAGATCAGATGGATGGGTCTAAATGACCTGCAAAGACATTCTCGGAGCCCTGGGCCACCACATTAAGAGCCAAGACACCACTAGCACTTCTGAAGTAGTTATTAGTGACTGAAGTAGCACTTGTCAACTGCGACTTCAGTTTCAAGTAATGGTTTAACAGCGTCAACTTGAAGAAAGGTTATATCTCTCTGTGTCTGGTGTGCTGCTGACACTTAAAGGAAATAATTGGTAGATTTAGAGCAGGGGCAGATGCCAGTGGTGGAATTAGAAGAGGTGGTTGGAAACTTGGAAAAAAACTTCAATGCTATTGTGTGAAACAAGAGCCAGGAATCCCTCCTAAGCTGCCGCATAAAAGGCATGAACAACCTGTAATCCAATCTCCTAGAAAGATCTCTGTTCTTTCACCCATGAGCTATGCTGCTGTGACATTTTAAGTCATCTACAGTTGCAGCTTGCAGCTCTGTCCTAACAAGAGGACAGAAAAAAGGTGGTCCCTTGCACTTCTTGGCGTTGTCTCTGGAGAGCACATGTCATGCAATCTCCAGCCAATTTTTGGCTCCAGTTTGGGAATACCCAGGAGAAAGTGTGCATGTGGAAAGAAGGGGAAGAAGAGGAGGTTGGAATCAGGTGATCAATCTCATTTTACCTGTTGCTCTATTGCGAGACACTAAAGCAGCCGACTTAGCGTGCAAATCCAGCAGCTGCTGGGCTGTCATCGCTTTCCAATTAGCTGTATTTGATTTGGGTAGGTGCTGATGGATTGTGTCGGCAGGTGAGAGGGGCGTCTGAAAGGGAGGATGCCTGCCACAGGGAGGAGGGGCATGTGTAAGGGATTTTTTTTTTTCCCTCCATGGTGTCCCCTTGAATGATGCTGCCTTGCCAAAATAAAAGTACTACCTTTATTTCCTGGGGTGAGGGACAGATTCTGCTCCCGGTACACCTGATTCTAGGCTTAGTATCACTAGTGTGGTGTTACTGCAGCATGGCTAAGACCAACTGGACTGCTTTACCCCTACGTCTTACTCTGACTGTACACAGATAAAATTTGAGTCAAATCAGCCATTTGAACTCATGAAGCTTAAGTCAACCAAGCCTAGAGCCTGTTACTGTGTCTTCTATTATTAACAGCTCTTTCTATCCTCCCCAACAGCCTTCCAAAACACTTTGTCAGGTGTTATTATTTAGTATCCTTGCATTGTAATAGCTCCTAAGAACCAAATTCACAAAAGTTTTATTTTGGCCATGTGCATCTTCAGATAATAGTTTGGTATCTATAGGGAGAGGTAGGAAACACAGGCCAAGATTTTGGCGTGGACAGGAGAGAGATCTGAAGCACACAGCTAGATCTGAGAGTCACTGTCATTAAGAGGACATAGGCAACTGGTAGGGTGTGCATGGGGGTGCACGTGCCCCCCCCCAAAGGGGCCGGTACCCCCCTGACAGCCGACACTGATGCTGTCGGTAGGGCTGGTGCCATTGGCGGCTTCTCCAGCTTCAGGAGGCACCAGTCACTCATGAAGGAGGATAGGTGAATTTGAGCTTTCAGAGGAGGTCCCCCAGGAGAGGAGGAAGGGATGAAGAATGTAGCCCTGTGGGACATGAGTGTGTTGGAAGGGAGGAGAAGTTTCCTTGAAATTAAATGCTAAAAAAGTTAGATCACAGCTGATGGCATGGAAAAACACTGAAAAGTTGAGGAGCTTCTGAGCTTTGGACTCAGTTTTCCAACTTCAGTGAAAAATTAAGTTGCTCAGCTTTGCATTTGGCTATTCAAACTCTCATATAAAGTGCCTGAAGTTGGCCATTTGAGGATTGTAGAACTCATCTACGCTGCAGTTGTAGGAAGACCAAAACTAGCAGTTGCTTGGAGAACTCTCTTATCTTTGAGAGCATTTACTATGGAATGAAAAAAAAGGCCCTTTTTTCCTGCAGGAAGATTTGAACCTGCAGTGCTCACAAAGTGTTTTAAGTACCATACAATGCGATAGGTGTGGCTTGAATAACTTTTCAGTTCTTTTGAAACTGGCTCACTAGAGGCTGAGAGAGGAGCCATATGTGGTCCCAAGAAGAAGACAAGCCAGGAGAAGACCTCAGCAGGAGGGCCTTTGCCTTGCAAGGGAGCGGCTCTGGACCTGTCTCCCAAAGATGCTTCTGCACCTTGCGTTTAACAGTCCTTAGATAAAATAGATATGCAGACAACAATAAGGTATTGTCTGCTGTACTCTAGGTAGGCTGATCTCAGGTCCCCTCTTCTCCAGGGCTGCATGCTTCTTACAGAGCCGCACTCCTTTTTGGCTTG